TTTTAAATAGTATTTGAAAATATCAGTTTATTTACTAATTTAAATTTATTAACTAATAAATATTTAATTATTCTTTTAATTATTATATTAATTAATAATTATAATTATTAATTATTTTTATTATTTAAATTAATAAAATTAATATTTTTAAAGATGATATTTTATAATTTTTTGTGGCATATTTTCCACAATGACCATAACATAAGCCAGTCTTTCACGCTCCGTCAACATGTATTAAACAAAGACTAAAAATTTTTGAAAATTTTGGTATTTAGACAATGATTGATAAACAATGCTGGCCCCATATAGCAGCTATTCAAAGTAAAGCAATATTATTATTTATTAAAGTAGACAAAAACCCACCATATACAAATTAAAATCTATATTTTGAAATTACAAATCATGGCCTTTTACATTCCTATATATGGCCGCGCTGGGAGCATTAACTTTTGACTCATAAAGCAATATTCCATCAATCATAGCCATGGAATTTACCATTACATTGTTTCTGCTGCTCCTCTCTTGTTCTCATCTTTCTTTCCCCGTCTCATGCAATGTAAACCAAATCCAGAGTCTAGACAAGTTGATTAAGTCCCAAAAATCTACCAACCCTCCTCGCAGTGAACCATGGAGTACTGAGTTAGATATTGGCACCGAAAGCAATTTCTCTCCGCCGGTGTATCTCGGTTCCCAAGAAGGGTTGATGAAGGCTGACAAGATTGAGGCATTACCGGGACAGCCGCATGGAGTGGACTTTGATCAGTATGCAGGATATGTAACAGTAGATGCCAAGGCAGGAAGAGCACTGTTCTACTACTTCGTGGAGTCTCCTCACAATTCTTCCACCAAGCCTCTGGTTCTATGGTTAAATGGAGGTAATGTTAGTATGACACAATTATATTGTTTTCACTAGAGCTGTTCATATTTGATCTAAATTGATTAATCTGATCCAAACTGATTCAATTTGATTAAAATTAAATTCAAATTGATATTAATTTAACTTAATTTGAATTATATAATTTTAAAACTAATATAAATACTTTGATTTGTGGTTTTATTTTTAAATTAACCAAACCACTAAATTATAAAATAACTTACTTAAATAATATAATATTTTTGTTTTTCTATTTTTTTGGTTAAAAAATATAATATATTTTTAGAATTTTTATTTTTTATACAAATTGTATTTTAATTTTTCTCCTTTTTTTTTACTTTTCTTATTTCTTTAGTATAATATTTTTTGTATATTAGTA